CTAAGCCTATCATCTTAATCCTACAGGTGTCGATGGGTTAATTGGTCTCACTGGCTTTTTAAATACCCGGTTTATAGTATTGTAAGTCCGCAGGCATACCGTAGTGCCACTAGGAGGCCACTTTTTGTATAAAATCGTGTGTGTGTGTGACTTTTATATATTACGAACTCTGTAACCAACAAAGTCACGATTCCACCAGCAAATTAGTGTTTAAATAGTTTAGAAAAAATGTTTCGATACCCGCGGTGGGCAGAGCACAGATAGCCCATTGTGTAGCTTTGTGCTTAAACTACAAAAATGAACGCCCCCCCAGTAGCACAGCGGTATGTCTGCGGACTAACAACGCTAGAATCCGGGTTTCGATACGCAAGGTAGGCAGAGCACAGATAGCCCATTTGTAGCTTTGTGCTTAAACTACAAAAATAAACGCCCCCCAGTAGCACAGCGGTATGTCTGCGGACTAACAACGCTAGAATCCGGGTTTCGATATGCGTGGTGGGCAGAGCACAGATAGCCCATTGTGTAGCTTTGTGCTTAACTTAAATTGAACAAAAATAGCACTATTATTACAATTAACCGCATCGTTCGCAGCTAGGGTCCTTTTATGCATCTTACGTAAGTGATGTCAGTTCTCTACACTGAGTACTTTAACAAACAAAACATATACAATTTAGTCAGTACGATACGATATGTAAACCTCAACAGCAGCGAACGGTATAAAAACATATTGGTAAACTGATTATTATTTTTTTTACCACATCTTATAAAATACATGCTAGGAAATATTAAAGGAATATATTGTGAAACTTGATGGTGTTCAATGAAGATAAATTAAAAATGTAACATATTTAATTAACATACGTCGAGGTAACAAGAATAGCACATTCGCGTAAAGAACAAGTTATTACGCTATATTTACAACCACACAATACGATTCTTCCCAGCAAAATTACTTTTTAATTACTACTTTAATACAATTATTCTGTGATTTTTAACGCTAAGTTTGAGCCTCGAAATTAGTACCAGCTTATTTACATAGCAATATGGAAATACAACAGAAAGTTGAAAGGTGTAATTAGACAACAAGCACTGTTTCCCACAACATATAAACTTTCAAATCCGCAAACGAAGTGAAATCAAGATCTTATATCCTAAATATTTCCTCCAGCTTGTCAAAACTCATAGCAAGTTAGTAAAGACGTGGAGTCATGGGATGTACTTGGTGTGGATTTAGACAACATCGTCCTTTATTTCACAGTAAACGAGCTTACATCCCATTGCGCAGATGGCTTAATCCTCTAGGCCGAGATGATGGTGGAGAAAAGCAGTCAGGGGCAGATCTGTCAGGCGCCAGCCTCGTCGTTATGCCCTCAACGGTAAACACGGATAGCAAACGTGAGACAGGCACAAAATCTCTCTTAGTCTCAAATGATGGCGCCACCAACGGCTCGCTTGGCGTCATTTCAGAATGGTTTTGAAAAACGGCAGATATGAGATTTCGATAAGGATATACGACTGACAAATGTAATAGAGTCAGTTATTTAGATTGAATCGCATATCATGGAAGATATATATATACATATATCTTTAGCGACAGAATAAAATTAAAACTTAATGAATAGCCCAATAACTAAACCACGATATTTTAATTTGAAGCCTGCATACTACGTTATTTTTTATCCAAACGTTTGCGATTCAGTAGCACTAGTCAGTTCGTATCGATTTACCACCAATAGTTCTACATGAAAATATTTGTAATTGCTGAACTTTACATCTTTTCAACGAGAATAAAAATTACAAAGATTATTGCACATTGACTCACACTACCTTATATATACAAGTTTGAAAGTAATTTCTCTCAAATCCTTACTCTTTCTCGCGGATCAATACGTTATTACAAATCATAGCTACACAAAGAACGAAAAGCAGTCAGTGTTATGACCTAAAATACTTTCAATTTAGAGTGTACTGTGGTATTTGGATAACGTTTTCTCAAGAGAGGTGAAAAATATGTTGTTCTGTCCAAAACAATTTTCTGAGATCTATATGAATAATATATACTCGAAACTCGTATTATTAGTTTCAGCAAATATGGTAAAAATGTTGAACATTTAATAAGAACAAAAGATATGACTAAAAAAAAGGTTATTCTAGACAATAAACTAGTTGTTCCCCCCCCCCCCATTAATGTTAGAGGCCGAATTTCGTTTATACAACAGGAAATTAGTTTAAAATTGGATAAGTAAAACAATTTAAAACAAAAACTATACCAATTTGTCCATATGTCTGTCTCTCTGCTATCGACTACCTTTAATATTATAGTTAAGAAATGTTGAGTTATCTAGCAAATATTAGAACGTGAGATTCAAGCATTTAGAATAAGCCTCTTCTTTGGTGATAAAAGGAGTTAATTATGCCTTTCTGTTTCAGTAGTATGTTCACTAGTATATTACAGAATTTGCATGCTAACTCGCACACGTTTTCGCATACTTTACTGTATTTACTGCTCGTGTTTGCCCGTAAAACCAAGTATAAAGAGCATTAAAACATACAAGCATTTAGGTGCTAATAATGTACACACACATATATATATATGTGCACACGCAGATTGTATATTCATGTAGATAAATGAATATTTATTTAGAGACGTGTGCATGACAGCATATGTTGCCCACCTAATGACTTTACGCGATGATGAAAAGACGTACTTGGCACATTCATTGTGGACTGCAACATGCCATTCTTGTCCAGTCCCAGGCACCAACGGCGGAAGCTGGTAGTGCCTGCTATGGGAGGAGAAGAAGAGAGGGGGGGGGGGAGGAAGATACCTCTTGCTGCTGTGCAGTAGCCATGCCACGTCTGTTTAACGGAGCGGATGAATTCTCCAGTGGAACTTACGGATCACTTACTACCCGCAAAGCCACATCGTACAGCTGATTCATTGACGGAAGTTTTTACAGCAGTACTTTTGTGTCCATGCTGGGAAATACATCCAGCGTTGCCCTTGATCCACAGAACCGAATGCTTGCTGAACGAGAAAGCTCTCAATACGAACGTCACCATAAACTGTTCTGTTTGATGATGGTCATTACCTTTTCTTTGGTAGCGTATGAACTGTGGTGAAAACGAAGTGACTCAACTGACGTGCCCAAACTTTCCAATGACTTATTACACTCCAAAAGACTTAACTATCCAGAACAGCAAACTTGTTAACTGTGATTTAGTTGTGTAGGATGATATTAATGATTTCTAATTAATACCTCTTCTGGCCAAGATCCAAACTAGCTTCTTTACCTATTTAAAATTACACTGTGTTTAAACTTTATAGATCCATTTCATCAGACACATTACTCATAAATCAATCTATACTTGAGTGGTACGAATTGTACTTCAAGTACTTTAACACGTTTACGCATGACTAAAGGAAAGAGTTTTTTAGCGTAGCGTATTAACTGATGATTACTGACAGCATGATGAAAGCTAAAACAAATTCCAACAAGCATAGATCTGGAATTTGGATACTTGAAAGAGCACTTATTTTTTTTCTGGCCGAACACTATTACAACTGTTAGTTGACGCTAATAAAAGGAAGAAGGGGCGTCAATAGTGCATTAAAGTTGATAAAGTGCCTTTCTTAATTTTGCTTATCACATATATTGACTTATAATCCATTCTTATTTTAAACTAATCTAAGTTCGGTGAAATGTGGTGCACTTTTCTAAAAAAAAAAAATCTATTTAATAATAAATTATAAATATTAGTGAAAAACGAATTTATCGCTTTGGATAGACCTGTAAGTGTAAGTAAATAAGAATAAACATTCTACAACACAAAACTTTCATTTTACACAAGAATCATGTTGCACATTCTCAAGACTTAGTTTCGTCTCAGTTTTAACATACGAGGTACAGACCACTTTCATTATAGCCTGGATTGGCCGCTTCACCGACAGATTCCCTTATCTGCGTGTGTGTACATGTATGACTCTTCTTGAAACGGTTCTGAGGGTTACAACACCAACAAAAGCGACACAAACTTGAATGCTGTGATTTCCAGCTCAGCTTGGATAATTTAAAACAGTATTGGTAAAGATCTTCTGAAAGCTAAGATTTCTAATGACTTAAACACGTATATATATATATATATAATTAAAGAGCATTTCTGAAGTCATGTGACGTTAAAAGGGCAACCAATCACTTGTCGCCAGTAAATAACAGAACAAAACATCGTCCATGTACAAAATAGTTAAGATTATATACGAAGAAACTAAGAATGCAAGTAGCAACTGTGCTTAAACGACGTCGTTAATATTATATGGGAAGAAACTAAGAGTTCAAATAGTAACTGTGCTTAAAAGTCATTGTTAAGCCTATATGGGAGAAAACTAAGTGTGCAAGTAGGAACTGTGGTTAAACGTCATTGTTAAGTGTGCTAAGTTCATTAAGCAGCTGTCAGACACTGCGGATATTGTCGACACTTTCCGTCATTGTGCTCCACTTACACAAAACTCAATAATTTCCATCATTCTTACCTGACTGATAGCTATATCCTATTTCATATATTCTTGAACCATGAAAGTTCTGTGCATCACCCACAGTGTTAAAACGATATGTGCAGTTTCATGACATTTAAAACAATCAAATATGATGATATCATGAACAAAAGAGGCTATATATATTTTTGTTGATATATGTAACAGTATATGTTTCATACTATCAAAAATAACGGTCCCAAGCTAAAAGTAATAGCAGTAACAGTCATATCCTAAATCAAAATAATGAAATAATTATTGCATTTGCGGTAAACCTATTAATGAGTAAAAACAGAATAACACACGATAATATCAAGATACCCTTCAAGTAGCAAGATACGTTTAACCCATTTAAATTTAATCTTATTTACATGATATTTGTTGAAATAATGACACAAAGCCTTGTATTACTCTCGCAGAATCAAACAAATGTCCAATTACATAACTGAAACTTACATAAAAGACTCACCTTTATTGTCCACAGAAGAGGAAGCACTTCCTTTTTCTCCTCTTTCTACAGGTTCTGGAAAGATGACTACCGTATCACTTCTTTTCATATACTCTTGAATTTTTTCCTCTTCAGACCTTAGCTCTTCTCCCTCAGACTTTTCTATCTTTCTGTCACCATCTTTGGATATTTCTTCACCCTTTTCTTTCCATCCCTCTGGGTCTTGACAAGTGTGACCATTCATTAAGACAGGAGGGTTATCTTCTGGAGCCATTCGGTTCTCCTCTTCACTTTGGCACACAGCAGAAGTCATAATGGGGCCATATGGTAACCGTTTTTTCTCACTGTTTTCTCCTCTTCTGGTTCGCTGAACAAAGTGTTAGTTTCGCACGATATTTCTGTCTCTGTCCCCTCTCTATTCTTTTCCACAGATTTCTCTTCTTCTTCCACAAGTTTTAACGAAGGCTTTGGAGTTGGAGACCGCGAAGTTTTTGGAGTTACAGCTTCTGAAGGCCCCAGGTGATCAAGCCCGGCACCGTCTGGCATATTTTCAAGTTCCACTTTAAAAAGAAAAATTTCGTGATATAGTAAATTGTCCCAAAAACAACATAGCAACGTGTTATAAGAAATTATAAATACATTAATAAAATAAGTTAAATCAAATTGGAAAGGATTAACTATTTTTATCCTCCTGCAACGAAGGAAGAGTTTACTGTTTACAGAACAAAGCTAGTATGAAAATATACGGTAACTGAATAATATATTACGACAGAATATGATTAACCTGCACTTTGTCTTTTATTCAAATAAGGTGCAATATGTTTCACTTAATATAAAGCTAAGAATGTGCTTAATATAAATATTACGGATGAAATAAACACAAATGGATGCTAAATCATAAAGTAATAAGTTCAATTTAAGCTACTAAATGAGTAGATAAAGACTTCATGAACATTTATAACTATAACTTAACGACATTACTCGTAAAATGTTTGTTTATTTGTTTGTTTGAAGTTAAACACAAAGCTACACAATGGGCTATATGTGCTCTGCTCACCATGGGTATCGAAACCCGGATTATAGCGTTGCAAGTCCGCAGATATACCGCTGTGCCACTGGGGGGGGGGGGGCTACTTGTAAAATACACTACGTCAACGTTTAACTAATAAATACAAGGTAACATTGAAAGTCTTAGTTAAGGACATTTAAAAGCAGACGTATTGGAAATAAGAAGGTTGAACACAATGAGAATTGATTTCTATGTTAGTTAAATTGAGATTCATAGGAAATGCATACCTTCGGCTCATTCCTAAGCGCCTAAAAAGGATTATATATTTCGGTTAACTTTAATTGAATAGCAAGAAAAACGGTTCTTATATTTAATTACATTCCTTCTTTTGGGATCCCACAAATAATATATTATGTATAGTTTCGCACAGACGATATTATTCCGATTATAATACCAGTGACTTTTTTTCATTGCCTCTCTTTGGGATCTATATTTCTTGTTTCTCCCCCCCCCCCTCTCACCCCCGCCAAAAGCCAGAAGCGATGTACACGGATGACTGCATCCAATACCAAGGTATATTTGTGTAACAAGAAACATAAAAGAAGCTTTCTAAACTACAAGCTGAATAAGAAAGATCCTTAATCTGCAATCGATACCAGTTTCCTCGCCGCCTTGGACAATTCACCTCAGAAGAAACAGGTATACCTCGGCAGCTGAACGCGACACGTTGTAAACCATAGGCTCTGCTACCACTAACCAAGAAACCAATGCACCGTGCCACCAAGGAAATGATGCTGAAAGCAGACACGGGAGAAAACAATATTGAGGAGAAATTTCCAAACCAAATCTTGCTCCGGCTGCTTTATTGTGGCTATTGGAGGAAAGCGAAATGTAAAAGAAAACAATTACGAATTTAACGGTTGAAAGAATTCATTCCCTTCCTGTACCCCTCCTCCACTTTCACAGGCTTGGAAAACTCTCCGATAAGCTGTCAGGCTATTGACTACCTAATATTAATTTACTATGTTTCACAGTATCCTGCATTATTATTATTACACTGAATACAAACCTTTTTGGAAATCATAGATTGAAATAAACACCTAGATTTATTTAATAGATTTATAAACCACATATCGTGGGCTTTTATTGTGCAATATATTTTTTGGGGCTAAGCTTGCTCTTTCGAATTGTTCAATTTAATTAAATAATACTATTTATATCATTTTAGTTATAAAGTTTTTATGTTATTATGGTATTCGGGTTTTGGAACCCCCCCCCCCCCCCGCTTAGAGAATGTGAAACTGGTAAACTTAAGTGCTGTGGACTGGAGTAGTATCTGTCACGTGAGTCTGTCGTTCTATGCGTGCTCTGTCCGCTACCATATTACCAATTTTGAATGAACAATAAAAAAAAACACGAGTAAGTTTGTTTTTTTTTAATTTCGTGCAAAGCTACACGAGGGCTATCTGCGCTAGCCGTCCCTAATTTAGCAGTGTAAGACTAGAGGGAATGCAGCTAGTCATCACCACCCACCGCCAACTCTTGGGCTACTCTTTTACCAACGAATAGTGGGATTGACCGTCACATTATAACGCCCCCACGGCTGAAGGGTGAGCAAGTTTGGTGAGACAGGGATTCGAACCTGCGACCCTCAGATTGCGAGTCGAGTGCCCTAACCACCTGGTCATGCTGGGCCATAGAATTTAGAAAGAAAACGTTGTTTTGATATACATGTTTTCAACTTTGTTTAAGTAAGCTCATTCTAACCTGTCATTTCAGTTTGATTTGAAACACTTGACGTCAGTTCTAAAATCCTTAATTAAGATAAAAGAAAAACACATACACGAATGTGTTAACGAATATGTAATATTAAACATTTAATTTTTCTTGTTATTTGGTACCATGCTACGCATGTATTTAATAAAAAAGAATTATATATATATATACATATTTATATTCTGTCTACCGATGGCTTGGCAATAAGCTTGAGGTTTTATAGCACAAAGATTCAGGATTCGATCCCTGCGAGGGCATAGCGCAGGCAGTCCATTGTTTAAGCTGAAACAAAACAAGAAACAAACTTTCTGTACTACGTATACTATATACGTACTGTATGTGTGCGTGTATGTAATCTACTTAAAGTAATATCTGCGTGTAAGTGAAATTTTTAACGTTTGAAAGTTAACGCTTTACCATCATACACGTGACATAAACTTGCCAGAATGTCCGACTGTTCGTTAAATGTAAATTTTGAGATATATATATATATATCAAATTAATTTATTATCTAATTACATTGTAAGATTTGAATGCATCGATTACGTTGCATTTCAATGTTTTTAGTTTGTCAATAGCAACTTATTTCTAAACTATTTGTACTTATGCGAGATTTCTAAGGTTTTGTTAATAATAACTTATCTGTTTTAGTAACTAATACACGATTTAAAATATCCTATTTTTGAATTTCATCATTGAAGAGTAGCCACTACGAAACCGGAAAGAAAAAATGTTGGGCAAAAAAGAAGGATGTACATACATATATATAAATATAGAAACACACACACTCATATATATATATATATATACATATATACACGTGTTTATATGTGTGACATGTGAGAATGTTATCGGTCCCTTCTGAGAAAATGTTTGCACAAGCGAGTCCCATTTTAAAATCTATACGCGTTCATTTAGTTAACAGAGGACTCAAACATAACTCTTGTTTTTAATCTCCGTTAGGAACATCGAGAACACGCAAAGCGACCCGTACGATAGCGCTTTTAAAGCGCGTTACTTCTATAAGTTAACTACGTTACTAAAACAGCACTCTGATCCATCATCTAGACGACACCATTGGATCTTCTCGCTCCTTCTCCATGTTGCGGGAGGAGGGGGAAGTGACAGAGCAGGAAAGTTTTGAGAAACGAGAAAGATTGGGCACTTCGTGTTTCTTCTTTTTAATCTAGTTACACGGACACAACAGGAAAGTGGATACCATGCCCTTTAAACAACAGAATACTGATGTCTGTGGGGCGCCATAGGCTGGATGAAGTTGTGATGCAACGAGCTCCTTCCAACTACTGCGCCAGAGAGAAAAGCTAACGGCCATAATTAATACTTAGCGTATGACCAGTAGGAGAAGCGGTTGCTGTTGAATAGAGCATCGCTGCAATCAAATTACAAAAAATTAATTGGACACAGACAGGAAAGCACATTTAGGGTGAAAGGCTTTTTATTAGATTAAGGTTTGGCCACGGCGTGGGAACCGCTCGCTAGAACGTGAAACTTTCGCAAGAGCCAGCAGGTAGTCTCCCAAAGCGGCCGCCACCATAGATCATCCCATCCTTAGCTGAACGAACCTCTGTCACACGCATCGCTCTTCTGTAATGAATTCTCCTAGCGGGAGGCCTTTGTTTTCGAGTCAGTTAGGAGATTGTAACGCTTAGTGTTCGTGATTGTAGGAAGACGGCTCTGTCGTGCTATAGAAAGTCCTGACAACGTGCTGTAATACTTCTATAGCCAAGAAGCTAAGATAGGTGCAAACTGTACTTTGTTTATCATTGAAAAGGAAGGCCGACTTTCACAACATTACTTCAAGTTTAACAAATCAAGTTAAGTTTTGACTTAGTAGGCTCAAAAGCAGATACATAAACCAATGTTAAGTTAGTAATACATACATATATACAAATATATTAACTTTTAAAAACTAAATTATGTTACTAAGCCACTACATCATTGATTAGTGTTTAACATAGGAAATAAAGCATAACATTAATATTATCTTTATGCGTATAAGAGAAAATAACTTAATCGAGCGTAACTGGAAAGGTATTTGGTATTTTCAACATAAGAGACATGCGAATTATGAGATAAGTCCCATGGTTCAGGCATAGCTGACCTTAATGCAGGATAACTGACTAGAGGGTTGACAATCAGTCAGCAATACCTGATACCTACGCAGTTACTTTTAACTGAATAGCGGAACTGATTGTTACTTTTATAGCGCGCTCACAGCTGAAAGTGCAAATCATGTTTGGCGATATGTCACAGGCTCAAACCTTGGACTTTCTGATCCACAGTTCAGCAAGCCAGTCATTTGGCTACTTTCGCCACAGTCCACTGTTAATTGTACAATAACATTAATCATGTACAACATTTGTGTTGGTATCTACATATATATATATATATACGTATGCATGTGTATTCCAGCATACACATACAAATATGTATATACGTCTGCATGTGTTTGTATATGTATATATATATATATATATATGTTTTGTGCACCATCATTTGTGACTATATTTAACACATATACATAAATACGCTCGGTGTTTAAGTATGTAAAATTTCATTATTATAATTTATGGAGTTAATTTTTTTTTAAATTGCGTTTCAACTTATGTTTACATTCATAAGAGGCCCTTGTAATTACGTAAGACACGAAAACAGATTACCAGACTTAATATATTACATTTAGTATTAACATTTTCTTCGACAGGAAGCCATGTGTGTAGAATAAACAAATTTCAAAAAAGGATGAGCTGGAAA